TATGTAGTAAGTGGTTAAGGAATCTATTTTCCACCACCTCCACCACCACCACCGCCGCCTCCCCACAATTTTCCACCGCCACCACCACCACCACCGCCACCTCCCCACTTTGGTTCAGGTTTTGGTTCAGGATTTGGTGTTGCTAGAATAAAATTATTTCATTATAATTAAATTTTTCCGATTATTTAAAAGTAATATAAAGTATATAACGTACCGACTGCAAGCGCCAAGATGGCCAACAAAAGACTTATGAAAGCGTAGATCTTCATCTTACGATGGTAAGTTTATTATAGTCTAAGGTATGAACTTTCAGCGTTATTTATACTCGCACAGATTTGAAGTCTTAACAGATAATTTTATAAATATAGTTCAAAACAAAGGTTTTTCCAAAAGATTAAAATGTATTAGAACAAATTGAATAATTACTTTGATAACATATTCAACTCTATCAAAATACAAGTCAATTGTTAAGAAAAACATATAAGAAAATTTTTTTAAAAATAAATAAATGACTACAATTTCAATTGTATTAATAACATATTTATTAAATATTAATTGTTATATTTTTTATGATTTACGTTCGTCCTGGGACCCAATTTATAAAGTATTTTGCCTGTAAATTATCGTTACCTAAATTATATTTTTGTACCATATTCAGAATAATAAAAATATATTTACTAATAAAAAGTAGTAAGTATTATAGTGGTTATCCTAGTGTTTATAGATATGAGTGTAAGAAAAACATATTAGGTTACACTGAAGTGTTTCTTAGAATTACTTTTTGTATTAGTATTCTATTAGTTTTTAACAGTCATCATCTCATTATTAAACCTTAAATCCGTTTTGTTAAATGCTTTGTCTGTTCCATACTTCTATATGCGATGAAAGCTTAGACTTTCAAAGTTGCTGATATTAATAAGCTTTAAGTTATAGATTTATGTTATAGATTTTTTAGAGAATTCTCAAAATTCCATTGACAGATCATGTTACAAATAATGAAGTTTTACAAAGAATGAGGTGTGGCAGTGAATTTTTAGCACATATAAAAACAAGAAAAACAGTCTATCTAGGATATATTATGAGAAATTGAAAATATGATCTACTCCAAATGATTGTTCAGAGAAAAATCTAAGGGAAACGTAGTATTGGTAGGAAACAATTTTAATAGCTGCGAAATATTCGTCAATGGACCCAAATATGAAAGATTGCAAGACTTATAAATATAGCTAGATGTAAAGAACAATACGCAGAAATCGTAAAAAATTTGTAATTGTGATTATCAAAAGCTAATTAAACAAAATTATATTATGTTATATGATCACCAATATACGAAACCGAATTGGCAAATAAAGATGAAGACTCCATTAGTCTTGTATCAAAGTATAAGAAAATCGTGTTTATTCATTACTTGGATACCTGGATACTTCTGCTTTCATAGACTTAAGCACTTATGACACACTACAGAGCTATAACATAATAAAAAATAAACGGATAAACAGTAGATATTCTAGGCTCCCATATGTAAGACAAAAATGCGATCTTCAGAATATTTGCTATTCCCAATTGAATAAAAGACCTGCAGTCTTACGAATGAAGAAAATAACTCTTGGTTAAAGAGTTCCTAATCTCAGATGAAAACACGTCAGATGTTATACACTATACTATAAGAGGACTTGAGGTCTTTATAGATATTATTAATAAAATTAAGAAATTCATTAAAATTTAATTTTTATAGAATAACAACTTTAATGCACATAATTGACAAATTAATACATCCTTTGTAATTAATAATTTATTAATTTCAGCTATAAAAATAAACATTAAGGAATAGAACATCGTTGCAATAACTTTCATATCTATTCAGTTATGTTTATATGTGTTCATATCATATTCTAGTTTATTTGCTTCTATTACTGTATATTAAACAGAGATACTAAACTTTACTGAAGTATTGAATAAAACATGTTCAATACATTCCTTGAATTTATTTGACAATTTATTAAAACTAATTCTTTTTAACTGAAAATAAAAATGAAAACATTTGTTACTTTTTTTATTCCTAGTGATTAGATTAGATTTTAAGATGTGTTGGGAACTTGTCACCACGTCACTGCATCCTTTGAGGATTATTGTGACATACTCTCTTTCTTTGGTGTCCTACTTCGGTGTTCGTACTGTTCAATATATTTTGTTGTTTTTTTTTTTTTTTTTTTTTTTTTTTTTTTTTTTTTTTTTTTTTTTTTTTTTTTTTTTTTTTTTTTTATTTTTTATTATGGCACTGTTTGGTGTTGTGTGTACTGCTTCCGCAGTTTTCGCAATGTTTTAACTTTGTGTATCCTTTCGATTTATTTATTACGTCTTTTATATTGTTCATTTGGATACACGAAATTTTTTTTTTTCTTTTTTTTTTTTTTTTT